AGAATGTGACATTTCTTACTTGGTTTGACCCAGGTTTACATGACGGATGTCGTCGATGAAGCAGAAAAGTTTACTCTTCCGAAACATCTGGTCTTATTCTCCTTGAACATTTTTCATGCGTCTCCCAGTAAATCTTTCTTTTCTTCCTATCCCCCTAGTTTAATTGACTTTGAATCTGGATAATGATTATGTTGACATATTAATATTTACTTGTTGTCTTTTGATGATAATATATGTGTCGAAAGATAAAATGTTCTGATAAAAGATGCATTCGGACTGACAAAGAATTAGAATAAGAAGTTTTAAGAAGTTTTTATATTGGTTTAGAAGAGAAATCAACAGACCCAGCGATTTGATATTCATTTTTTTAAACACAATGCTTTAAATATAAATGATTCATTTCTTCGTTCAGATTGCTATACTTGGGCATGATCAGTGCTTAGTCAATAGTTCCTATTTGTTGATGTTGTTGTATTTAATCATTATAATGAATAATATACAGTAACGCCTAATGATTCAGATTATGAATTAACAATCATGAAATTAATGTTTATTTCCGAGTTTGTATTACTCAAGGCAATTAATCATCACCTAGTACGTAAACGTTTTCGTACATCAATTAAACCGTGAAAACTGCTACTTGTCATCGGATGTTTTTCATTTGAATTGTTAATCAAACTTGTATATTTGGTGGCATATTGGTAAGTGGTTTGATTGAAATTTTCCTGGTTTTGACGTACCGTACACTTCAAATTTTTATTTGATTAACAGGATTGTTGTAATTACAGCTTCTTAATGCTACCGTACATTTTGTAAGATAAATCGGTTCATAAATATGCATGGCGTTGGAAAATGGCATCAATTTTATACTTTGAAATGATCTATACATTGTGCCATTTTATATCCATTAGGTAAGAGAATGTATTGTTTGTTTATGATATCATTGTTTCCTAAGCTGCTTTCATTAAATGTCATCTTTTTGACACAAACATATATGTAATATGTGTTCGTTGTATTATATAAGATACATAATGTTAAAGACATGTTTTAAGCACATTTTAAATGTTTTATTTATATATAATGGGCACATGCTATCATCGAATGTTTATCTAGCATTTTCATTAAGTGTTGGTGCTGTGCAATCATTTTGTTTGTTGACGCTTCGGTACATTTTTTACCTTTGTTTCATCTTTATTTCCAGGTTTGGAAAAGTTTTAATGAGCGGCACAACTGTATTTTATTATGTTTGAAGATAAAAAATGTTTAAAATCAATTGCAATTTTTGTATCTAGTAATGGCAGATTTACGACAATATACAAACGATAAAGTATGCCAAATTTATACAGAGAACATCACATTTAGTGGAACATACAGTCTACCGTAGCTTTTTCAATACTAAGTAACACAAACTGTCTTGGCGCCACAAAATACCTTTGTTTTAGCTGAAGTAGGTTTAACAGACATTTTCCGAAATATATCATTTTAATGAAATGTAAACTTTTGTCACGCATGCAGGCGACTGTGATGGTTGAATACCTGTTTTATTGCTTGGAGTGATATTGTCTGTGTAAACATGCCACAGGTGCACGTGTGCGATGTGTGTATAAAATCGCCCTGGCAGGTCCCTCAGACTAGGCTTCCTACCACTAAAATCTCCTCGCATGTCCATTGCTACGCGTGCGTTTATCCTAGTTGGTTAATATTTGTATTGTCTACATCATAGTTGGATTGCAGTGAATTTACTCACAAGCATTTGGTAAAACTAGCAAAACACCTGTGTTTGGAAGAGAGATATAACTTTTTATCATTTAAAATTGAAGTTGAACCTGGATTGTTTATATCGTATCATTAATTACTTGTGTTATACTGTTAATACGAAGAATCAACGTTTATCCAGCACATGTTCATGTTCTCTCTCCAATCATCTGTCGTTTTGACAAATACTTATTTGATGTTAAATTGATGCTTTAGCGCATGGCGTTATGGCCCTTTTCAGGTTCCTTGAGATTATGATAGCTTGTCAGCGATGGAAATATGTGTTGTAGGATCATAACGCTAAAACTGTTGTTGTTTTTATTTGCATTTTACTAGCAAATATGTGCGAAATTAAAAGATGTTTTCACTTTCCTCGGCAATGTTGTCATGATAACATTCTTGACTTACAGAGGTCACATGACCAACTGATGTTATGATCTTGCAATAAATTCTACAAACATTGCAACACGGAGATGTAAAGTACCTGTAATTTTTTTTACAATTTACCTGTCAGTTCTCAGCATGGATCTCATGCTTTCTTTATTATTACAAAGATCAATTCATAAAGTTATTTTTTGGTTCCTGGTTTGGTTACACTCTACATGTGACAATATACCCATCCCATGGTTTCACACGAGTGTCCGTTAATATAAAAATTGATAAGATTTGTTTACTACTGTGTAAAGGAGCGAACCTTCAGTGTTATAGGTTATCATTGGGTGTGTGTATCACATTAAATAATGAAAACAAAAACACAAACCAAAAAAGAATGGAACCTGCTCTGCAATAAATTTTGCATTCAGGGCTGTCTACCGGGTACGAATTAACTCACGCTGAACAGTAATAACTAGTCGGTTTTCAAATGTGGAAAATTTGTTATCGGTGAAGATTAAGACACTATTATCATGCTTCTGACCAGTGGTCAATATCTTTTAGTTTGTAAGGTGATAAGAACACCATGCCTGATCACATATCGCATATATTGCAAGATTTGTGAAGTCAACACGTTTCCATTTGTATCTACAGTATGTATAAACCTAGGCAGCAGCTAAGAAAAAGAAAACTCGAAATTGGAAAAAAAATAAATGCCAAACTAGTGATTGGTAGTTAAACTAATCTTATAATTAATAAAATTAATTATTTTCAACATAATTACGGTATTATGATTAAATTGGACTGCGTGAGAACCAAGCACGTTTTCAGCCATTTCATTATACGTACGATATCCACTCTTAAAATATCAAAGGTGATAGTCCAAAGGAGTCAAAAACGAATACCAAATTAGGAATACACAAATATGTGAGGGCTGGCGGAATATATCATTTTAAGTGATTTATTTCATTTACATCATATTCATAACAATAACGCTGTTCAAAATATTCCAATGTTTAACAAACGGTTCATCTAACTTTACGATGTAAAATTAGTATAGAAATAATGATGATGAGACAGGATTACCTGAATGTAATTGCAAATCTGAGAATTGTTTTATTTAAAAAATTGTACCATAAAATAATGAAATACATAAAGTAGGTTGTTTATTGAAATAGAGAAACAGATATATATATCTAACAGATTGTCAGATGGAATGTGGAGAGTCTTTGGGTAGATGTTCGGTACTTAAACGTCCGTCATTGCTCTCACGTTTTACGTCTCAGATTGTTATATATAATAACATACACTGTTATCAAAGGAAAAATCATTTATACCTAGGTTCAATCATGTATAACTTTCTTTCAAGTAAAAAAAAAAATATTTTACCAATCGAGAATTAATTGATATCATTGTCTTTCCATTTGTTATTGTCTATAGTATATTTTGGTCTCTCCTTTGATACTTGGTTTACACTTAGTCCTTGCTAATGACCTGTGTTTATGCCGACACATCACACGACAGGCCCTTTGGTCACCCCCGAAGATATAATTGATTGTTGATTTTACCGGAGACTTATTACTGTGAATATCTACTCAAATATCTTGTCGGTCACGGGAGATTAATGTGTACGGAGATTAGCCCCGATATTGTCCCACGGCTGAGGGGGATCCTAGTTCAGAACAGGTTAACACATAACATGTTAGTCTCAGTTTCCTCCGGATTTTCCGTTAAAACAGCTTTACCCTAACCACATTTTTTATATAGATATAATATTAATGTGCATAGAATAGACTACCTTACTTGTCTCAGCGCAACTTAAGATTAACCTCAGCCATGGGGATGTATATGATACATGGCTGATGTGTGAACCTGACTAGACTTACAGCGACTTACCGTCGGTACACCCGGTATCGCGAACTGCCGATTGCACGTCTTTCATCTGTGACGGGATGGGGTGCGTTTATCAGCCGTGTTAAATCAAAACTTTATGAATGGTGTAGTAGCAGTTTTTGTATATTATAACTATGAATTTTAATAATGCATGAAATATCAACATACTATTTTTTCTTGACAGTTATCATGCAAAATACTGGAAAACTTCAATGTATATCTTATTTAACGCTACAGTTCCTTTCATCTCAGTAATTGTAAAACATGTTTTATTATTTCTCCTTTTTATTTGGTCTTTTGAAATAAACTAAAACCACGATAAGCGCTATGTACCCCTTACAGAGAGAGTCGATAAAACAACATATGAAGATAAGAAACATTTAAATTATACAAAAATATAGTTTTCCTTTTCCATGCAGATGTTTGGTGATGTATTGCTTATAATATGTTTTTATGTTCAGGAAAGTGGGTAATATTGTGTATTACGACCTTCACCGTCCTAGAGGTAAGGAATATCAAGGGATGTGTGTTTTTCTTATTTATTTTCGGTATCTATTCTCTGTTTCGAAACAATTCTGTTAAACTACAAATGTAGCGAGGGTAAAATAAGTGGATATATTTAGCACATTTTTACTAAGAATACTACTGTTTTTGTTTGAATTCTTACCACATGACACATGATGGTAGATAGCGTACATCTACTCATATAAAATGGCGATGCTTTATTGTCAGGCGTGTGGTGTGATAAATCGACGCCAGCGATTCTAGGTATTGTGTTTATTCACATAGAGACTTTATCTTTACATAAATTTGTAGATGTAATGAATTAATTTTAATATATATTCGAACAGTTTCCAGTAAAATATAATGGCAATTTTCACGCATGCCTCGCACTCGTACAGATACATAAATATTATGCCTTTTCTCGAAACGTTGATCATTCAATTCCTTCTTTATACTTCAGCAGCCTGATGTTATAGGCGGAGAAAAGAAGTAGCAGACGGACAAACGGACGAAGAAACACGAAAAGACGGCGAAACAGTCACAGACGGACAAACAGACGAACAAACACGAATAGACGGCGAAACAATCACAGATGGAAAAACAGACGAAGAAACACGAATAGACGGCGAAACAGATGGAAAAACAGACGAAGAAACAAGAATAGACGGCGAAACAGTCACAGATGGAAAAACAGACGAAGAAACAAGAATAGACGGCGAAACAGTCAGACGGAAAAACAGACGAAGAAACACGAATAGACGGCGAAACAATCACAGATGGAAAAACAGACGAAGAAACACGAATAGACGGCGAAACAATCACAGATGGAAAAACAGACGAAGAAACACGAATAGACGGCGAAACAGTCACAGATGGAAAAACAGACGAAGAAACAAGAATAGACGGCGAAACAGTCAGACGGAAAAACAGACGAAGAAACACGAATAGACGGCGAAACAGTCACAGATGGAAAAACAGACGAAGAAACAAGAATAGACGGCGAAACAGTCAGACGGAAAAACAGACGAAGAAACACGAATAGACGGCGAAACAATCACAGATGGAAAAACAGACGAAGAAACACGAATAGACGGCGAAACAATCACAGATGGAAAAACAGACGAAGAAACACGAATAGACGGCGAAACAGTCACAGATGGAAAAACAGACGAAGAAACACGAATAGACGGCGAAACAGTCAGACGGAAAAACAGACGAAGAAACACGAATAGACGGCGAAACAGTCACAGATGGAAAAACAGACGAAGAAACAAGAATAGACGGCGAAACAGTCACAGATGGAAAAACAGACGAAGAAACAAGAATAGACGGCGAAACAGTCAGACGGAAAAACAGACGAAGAAACACGAATAGACGGCGAAACAGTCACAGACGGACAAACAGACGAACAAACACGAATAGACGGCGAAACAATCACAGATGGAAAAACAGACGAAGAAACACGAATAGACGGCGAAACAATCACAGATGGAAAAACAGACGAAGAAACACGAATAGACGGCGAAACAGTCACAGATGGAAAAACAGACGAAGAAACAAGAATAGACGGCGAAACAGTCAGACGGAAAAACAGACGAAGAAACACGAATAGACGGCGAAACAGTCAGACGGAAAAACAGACGAAGAAACACGAATAGACGGCGAAACTGTCACAGACAGAAAAAAGAACAGAAAAAGAAATAACAGCAAACGGAGAAACAACAAAAGACAGAAAGACAACAAACAGAGAAACAGCAAAAGACAGAGAGACAACAGACAGAGAAACAACAAAAGACAGAGAGACAACAGACAGAGACACAACAAAAGACAGAAAGACAACAGACAGAGAAACAACAAAAGACAGAAAGACAACAGACAGCGAAACAACAAAAGGCAGAGAGACAACAGACAGAGAAACAACAAAAGACAGAAAGACAACAGACAGAGAAACAACAAAAGACAGAGAGACGACAGACAGGGAAACAACAAAAGACGGTAAGACAACAGACAGAGAAACAACAAAAGACAGAGAGACAACAGACAGAGAAACAACAAAAGACAGAGAGACAACAGACAGAGAAACAACAAAAGACAGAGAGACAACAGACAGAGACACAACAAAAGACAGAGAGACAACAGACAGAGAAACAACAAAACACAGAGAGACAACAGACAGAGAAACAACAAAAGACAGAAAGACAACAGACAGCGAAACAACAAAAGGCAGAGAGACAACAGACAGGAAAACAACAAAAGACAGAAAGACAACAGACAGAGAAACAACAAAAGACAGAGAGACGACAGACAGGGAAACAACAAAAGACGGTAAGACAACAGACAGATAAACAACAAAAGACAGAAAGAAAACAGACAGAGAAACAACAAAAGACAGAGAGACAGCAGACAGAGAAACAACAAAAGACGGTAAGACAACAGACAGCGAAACAACAAAAGACAGAGAGACAACAGACAGAGAAACAACAAAAGACAGAAAGACAACAGACAGAGAAACACCAAAAGACAGAAAGACAACAGACAGCGAAACAACAAAAGACAGAGAGACAACAGACAAAGGAACAACAAAAGACAGAAAGACAACAGACAGCGAAACAACAAAAGACAGAGAGACAACAGACAGAGACACAACAAAATACAGAAAGACAACAGACAGCGAAACAACAAAAGACAGAAAGAAAACAGACAGGGAAACAACAAAAGACGGTAAGACAACTGACAGAGAAACAACAAAAGACAGAGAGACAACAGACAGAGAAAAAACAAAAGACAGAAAGACAACAGACAAAGAAACAACAAAAGACAGAAAGACAACAGACAGAGAAACAACAAAAGACAGAGAGACAACAGACAGAGAAACAACAAAACACAGAGAGACAACAGACAGAGAAACAACAAAACACAGAGAGACAACAGACAGAGAAACAACAAAAGACAGAGAGATAGTAGACAGAGAAACACCAAAAGACAGAAAGACAACAGACAGCGAAACAACAAAAGACAGAGAGACAACAGACAGAGAAACAACAAAAGACAGGAAGACAACAGAGAAACAAACAATAACATCCAAAGAAACAACAACAACGAAAAACCAGAAAAAACAAAAACAGACAGATAAACAAAAGATAGAAAGACAATAGACAGAGAAACAAACAATTACAGATGAAGAATCAACCAAAGACAGAAAGAAAACAGACAGAGAAACAGCAAAAGACAGAAACAAACAATAACATGCAAAGAAACAACAACAAAAACAAAAAACAAAAACAAAAACCAGAAAAAACAATAACAGACAGATAAACAACAAAAGACAGAAAGACAGCAGACAGAGAAACAAACAACAACAGACAGAGAACTAACGACAAAGAAACAATAACAGAGAAATGATAACAGATGGAAAAAATAGACGGAGAAACAATAACAGATGGAGAAACAACAGATAGTGTACGTTATCATATTTTATATGATCAAAGCTGAAAATCAAACATCATTGAGAGAATTTTGAAGCTACCGAATCTCAGTGGAAAGTAATCCTAACACTAACCACATTTACAACTTTGTTAATGTCGGTAAGAAAATGTGATATGATATAGACCAAATTTTAAAAAATGATTTTGTATATTTGATAGTAACACGTGTCGATGCGTGATAGATATTATTGTTCTCACGAGCGCACGTGCATGTTGAAAATGACGCAGTCAAACATAGTATTTCTATAGTTTCCATATAGATACAAGCATAAAGATATCGTCATGTATTTTTCTATGGGAAAACGCGGGCGAGTTTGCATTTAAGATCGAGGAGTTGATACACATATGGGGTAGGTTAAAGAAGGGATATTAAGGAGGGAGGGGGCTTTTGATGTGTGGGGATGTCCTACCTAGTTTAGGGGTATTAAAGTGCGTCGGGGGCCGTGAAATTCTGCCACTGAACTGTGAACATCGCTATAATGTGATTTAACATGAAATGATCGTTTTAGCCTGATAGGGAGTAGCACAGTGTGGCTAGGGTGGGGACGCTGAGGAGGACCACGATCAAGGTTGGCATGTCTGCATTTTCTGCTATAAGAAATAAACATGCTTTGAAAATTAATTTTATGATTTAGCTTCATTTCTAGTACAAAGGCCTAAGTGTGATATATTAACTAGCTTGTCCATACTTTAGTATTGCTAGAATATATTAATGTGTACACTATCTATTGACGAATGTGAGAATATACACAATATTTAAAAAAAAATAAAGAATAATATTGTTTAATACATCATATATGTTTCACGATTATTAATAAAGATATTTAAAAAGAAAACAGTTGTTTTTACATTATTGAAGGTTGAATGAGAAGGTTTTAAATTTATTGTTAAATCCCTATATTTCTCTGGCTAAAAGGTAGTATATTCCGGGCACATAATCGGTGTTTGATCGGAGGTGATTTAACGATTTGTTTTATACATCATCATGTATTTCACACAGGCTATCTCACGTGTTAACAACAGAAATTATATATTATCAACATTTCTTTGTTTCAAAGCTCGAAATACAGCTGCAGATGTTGTGAAGGATGATATAAGCAGCCTTGAAATTGAAAGTTGATCACCATTTAGATTTATTGGTCAAAGTGTTAGATGAAACAGAGATGAAACATTGTAACGAGGAAATTAAAACTTCCGTGATTATATGATTTATCACTATCGCGGTATCAAAGTCCTAGAACAGACCCATGCTCTATTTTACTTCAGTGTTTGGATAAATTTAACCTAATGCTAAAGTTTGGGACCCGAAAACCATCCATCCTCCATTTTTTTTTTAAATCTGAGCTTTTAAGAGTACACTAAAATACACCGTAAATATTCCATTTTCATTGAAAATACTAAATGTTCACAGGGACTGTAATTCACTCTTTTACATTACATATCTCTAAGTGCAGCTAGGTCAATCTGATTGTACGTATTACGTACATATATCAGTATAAACATTGGCCATGGTGTCCTTTTGATCTTTATTAATTTGAATAATATCTGTGCTGGCACAATGAGGAGTGACACCAGGTGTTACTCAGGTGTGTAATTACATAATTTGTTTACATGTTGTTCAACAACATATGATCAATATTTAAGTCCCTTATAAACATACAGTAAGTACAGTTACCGAAGTAACAAGAGCCTACAGAAACCACAAAGATAGATATTATTGTCCTTGTGAACATATTATTGATGTTGATTATGATATGGAATTTAGTTGTACTCACAACATTCCTCATGCATATATCCATGAAACTAGACATAATTATGAAACAAAATAAAAAGAAGAGAAACACTGTCAAAATATATACATAAAAAATTGTTTCTTGAAAAGATTTATGGATTGATATCTATGTCAAATAAAGTGAAATACTTCAATTTGCGGAGATAAGCAGGAATGTTGCTATCAAGTAAAACAAATGGTAAAAGCAACACGTTTACCGTTAATTTCATGTTGCACCAGCAATATTTGTTAGGTACGTGGTTGATGTTCAATAGTGGTTATGTCCTTATATACAAATTAAAGGGACTGATCGATGTAAAAACTTAGTGTCAGATCGACGTGTTAAATAAGTGTCAGATAAACATGAGAATTTAGTGTCAAATCAGCATGGGAAGTTAGTGTCAGATTAACATGGGAGGTTAGTGTCAAATTACCATGGGAAGTTAGTGTCAGATTAACATGGGAAGTTAGTGTCAAATTACCATGGGAAGTTAGTGTCAAATTAACATGGGAAGTTAGTGTCAAATTACCATGGGAAGTTAGTGTCAAATTAACATGGGAAGTTAGTGTCAAATTACCATGGGAAGTTAGTGTCAGATTAACATGGGAAGTTAGTGTCAAATTACCATGGGAAGTTAGTGTCAGATTAACATGGGAAGTTAGTGTCAGATTAACATGGGAAGTTAGTGTCAGATTAACATGGGACGTTAGTGTCAAATTAACATGGGAAGTTAGTGTCAGATTAGTGTCAGATTAACATGGGAAGTTAGTGTCAAATTACCATGGTAGGTTAGTGTCAGATTAACATGGGAAGTTAGTGTCAAATTACCATGGGAAGTTAGTGTCAGATTAACATGGGAGGTTAGTGTCAGATTAGCATGGGAAGTTAGTGTCAGATTAACATGGGAGGTTAGTGTCAGATTAACTTGGGAAGTTAGTATCAGATTAACATGGGAAGTTAGTGTCAACTTAACATGGGAAGTTAGAGTCAGATTAACATGGGAAGTTAGTATCAGATTAACATGGGAAGTTAGTGTCAGATTAACATGGGAAGTTAGTGTCAGATTTGTTAAACACGTTACATTATCAAGTGTCAAAAAATAATAGAATAGACAGCACAAATAAAGGGAAAACACACAAACTTCAATAAAAGAAAAAGGAAGACACATCAAAACATAAAAATAGCAGACACAACAGCCGGAGACAACACCATTAACTCCCAAGATAGCAGACACAACAGCCGGAGACAACACCATTAACTCCCAAGATAGCAGACACAACAGCCGGAGACAACACCATTAACTCCCAAAATAGCAGACACAACAGCCGGAGACAACACCATTAACTCCCAAAATAGCAGACACAACAGCCGGAGACAACACCATTAACTCCCAAAATAGCAGACACAACAGCCGGAGAAAACACAAGGAACTCCCAAAATAGCAGACACAACAGCCGGAGAAAACACAGCTAACTCCCAAAATAGCAGACACAACAGCCGGAGACAACACCATTAACTCCCAAAATAGCAGACACAACAGCCGGAGTAAACATAATCAACTCCCAAAATAGCAGACACAACAGCCGGAGACAACACCATTAACTCTCAAAATAGCAGACACAATAGCCGGAGACAACACAGTAAACTCCCAAAATAGCAGACAAAACAGCCGGAGAAAACGCAAGGCACTCCCAAAATAGCAGACACCACAGCCGGAGAAAACACAAGAACTCCCAAAATAGCAGACACAACAGCCGGAGACAACACAGTAAACTCCCAAAATAGCAGACAAAACAGCCGGAGAAAACGCAAGGAACTCCCAAAATAGCAGACACCACAGCCGGAGAAAACACAAGAACTCCCAAAATAGCAGACACAACAGCCGGAGAAAACACAGTAAACTTCCAAAATAACAGACACAACAGCCGGAGAAAACGCAAGGAACTCCCAAAATAGCAGACACAACAGCCGGAGAAAACACCATTAACTCCCAAAATAGCAGACACAACAGCCGGAGACAACACCATTAACTCCCAAGATAGCAGACACAACAGCCGGAGACAACACCATTAACTCCCAAAATAGCAGACACAACAGCCGGAGACAACACCATTAACTCCCAACATAGCAGACACAACAGCCGGAGAAAACACAAGGAACTCCCAAAATAATGGCGATAACATCTAGGAAAAACTTAATAAACTCCCAAAATAGCCGTGATACGTAACAGCGAGAGAAATCACAAGAATCTCCCAACAAAGCACACAAGAGCCAGAGAAGATCAAATCTATACATATAATGATGCAGAATGAGGTTATCAATATAAAAATATGTAATATAGAATTCAATATAGTTAAATATGGACAGTAACAGTTTTAGATATGTAATTAATTTTGTTTGGAGAGTATAACATTTTCACATGAAGGGGACTTCGTTACAGTACATATCATTACGTTGATTTTGTGTTTGTGACTTTATATTATTAAACAATTAATCTATTAGATGATGTAGGATACATTTTCACATATACATGTATATTTTATATTGATAGATTTTTTCCAAACTCGTCATGAATTTAAAATGAAGAAAGAAGACCCTTACATACTGGCAGAGAAAAATATCGAGGTGTTAATAGTATGTATGTAACATACAGTTTATTTAGAATGGAAAGAGCAGGTTTGCACGATTATGTGTTAAATATTGTGTCTGTCAAGTACTCCGATAACAATGGGAAGTGCCGTTATAATGAAATAACGTGGATGTTACAAGGTAGGAGGGCAAGTCTTATACGGGGGCTATTTATGCTATCTGATAGTGAGAATTGTAACATTATTGGGGACCAGTAATTGCCACTCACGGATCGGTATCTGTTATTTCTCAAGTTGTTCGGGCGCTAATGTTTACCTTACATCTTTCACTGAGCTTAGATTGTCCGATGACGTTTCTGTGCCTGTGCGTGGATGAATGATGCTCCATGTCCGGGAACATTCTTGATGCGTATTACATGCGAAAACAATCTTATTATCAACATTTTCTTGAATATCTGTATAGTTTTAGTATTTTACTCTAATGATAAGCAGTTAAGCATAGTTTTGCGTGATACGTGGTGTACTACATGATTTAACACTAGAACAGCACCGCCAGTCAGGAAAACACCAGGGATATCATTAGCTATAATTATAGCCTTCTGTAAATGAATTGGATGTCCCGCCACCAACAGTCTTCACAGCAATACATCTGACGGGGTTTTATTTATAATTTTTTTTATCTAGTGTTGTCTTAACTGATTCAGTGTTGAAAGTCTATGAACATTTGTGAGATTCCATATTCCATTTATATAACGAAAAATGACAAGAACGTTTTAGAATTTTTTTTATGCGATGCTCCAGAAGTAACAACATCATCAGTTTCATTGCCGTTATGGAAAAAAATCTCAAGTAAATAAAGGAATAAATTAATAAATAGATCAATAAATTAGTCATAATTGATAATTTAATTAATGTCAACAATACTAGTTCAAACTTTCTCCATTATTTTACTTGTTCTAAAGATAGTAGGTTTTGATGTACTCAATTTATCATTGACTATTCAATAATATACTCATGAAACTCACGAATGCAATTTTCATGAATGCCTAAATGAAAACGTCGATGGGTGATGTTCCATGCGTACCACTAATTATATGTGTTATGATTTTCCAAATTGACATCGGAGAGGAACTATTAAACCATTATCTCAACCGGTTTCTAGCAGTCGAACACAACGATAGCCAAATCCAATGTTTATTCCGTTCCCGATTATTCTATAATGATTTGCTGTACTAACCTGAGACTCTAGAGAGGGAAGGAGAGAGATTGGTTTGACACAGACCAGGCGTGGCTAGTTAGACTGTACTGGCCACGCTCTCCACACGCTCACGGTGGCTCGTCCCCCTCCTCGTCTCCCTCCTCCCGTCATTCTGTCTCCCAGAAGGAAAATTATTTACTCTGAGGTAGACCTATTGGTGCGCTTTTGTACAAACAGATTAAACGATGCTATCTTTTATCTTTGGTTTGTATGGTTAATTCTCAGTATATAAATATATATTATGCATACATACGAATGGCGTTTCTCTGGATAGAATCATGTGTAATTTCGGGAATTAATCACAAAATAAAACGTGAAACCAACCAGCAATCTGTACAAAACAGCAAAAATAACTGGCAACACTATGTTATTCACCAAAGAAATATTTTTTCGTAGGTCCGTTACCATGAGATCGTTTACCCGTAAGACCTCACTATTGTGCAAAGTGGAGTGTATTTCGTTGATGCTATTTTGTAATGTTTTGTTATCATAATATGGTGAAACAATAGTTTGTGTATGAAGTCGTAAGAACTAAAAGTAACGCTGAGTTGACTAGACGACTGTGACTATAACAATGATAAACTGTCATGTTTTCTAGTCATTGTATAAGTATGTATTATAATGATCAATAAAAACTTGTCCAGCACGTGTGTCCGGGGCTGCTGCCAAATAATTTAAAGTGCCTGTATAGGACAGTATAGATATAACTTGTACTTTACACGCAGTCCGAGTCATCATTTCCCCTTTTTTATTTTCAGTTCAATGACATGTCATTCAGCTGGCCATATTATACTTCCGTTCTCAATTTTCTCGAGTTCTTGTAAACAATGCTCAGCGACGTTGTAAATATATCTATTTACGTATGTGTTATATATCATATTCCAATAACGATAAAAATGCGTCTTTATATATCACTGTAGAATTGGGAACATATTATGTACACGAACTACGTCAGAAAGATCCCTTAAACAGAGCCAATATGGCGCTATCTCATTATAATAATATATGTTTGGTTCCTCAGGCAGAGGGAATTTTCGTTCAGTATATATTGATGAAAGGATAATTTCATGAAATCGCCATCTGTGTATTCTACTTTTAGAGGAAAAAAAAGATAAATAAAATAAGAAATAAATAAATAAGTAAATAAATTAACAGACACAAGTAGATATGTAGTATTTTACCATAGAATTTATTATCAGCCAGTCATCCATTGCATCATAATGCTGTGTATTCTCTCATACATATTTTACAACAACCAACACATCAGGCAGGTAAGGGCGGTACATCTCCACTCCTACAATGACGTCACACATACATACTGTAACACAATCACGCCCAATAAGGTGCTTTCACAGTCAGAAAACAGGGAAAAGTCGACGACGACCAAGTAAAGTTACACAAGTCATACCAGAATATTTCCTTTCCTAATAGAAGTGGAACGGTTTTTAAATTACTGATAATCAGATTCGGATCTTAGTTGATGAACTTGCACAAGAGCTGTTTATACACAAAGCAAAAACAAACAATTTAGAGATATTCTTGTTTCTGTTTGTACATCGCACCAGAAAATTATATATATATACATTTGTATACATTTAAATAATCTCTTTATCATCGGTTTTTTCCATTCACGTGTGAAAAAGGACACAAATTAACATGTATAACTAACTTAAAAATTCAAAATAATATTTGTATAGCGCCATACAAACTTACAATAGTGAGATTGGGTAAAAATCATAGGAATGTGTTCGAGACAAAGCACGATAAAATAGCCGGCTGTATGCCTAATATCTCCTGAGTAAAAAACTGAAACCAGTGCACGTATTTACATTGATTTTGTAAAGCAAACAAATACAAGATATCTTAGTAATGGGTAAATAAAGGCCACTTACTCGTAAAACATAATTAAAAATGATTAAATACATATTTGTTACTAGTGACTTCATTTGATTTTTTTTACACATCTAAATCAGTATGTGTGGCCACTCAAGTGAAGCCACTGTATGGTGAGGATTGTGAGGTAATATTGAGTTACCTGTCGACGTTATCAATTCTGATTTATCAGGGATAACACTTACATTATATTGACGCCAGAAATACGGCAGCACGTGCTGTTTATCAACATTATTTGTTTGGATTTTGTCAGTTTTTGTTCAACACTTGCCACATTGTCATGTTGGATAAATGCCAATTCGTGAAAAATATTTATTTTAATAAGTTGCTGTCATTTCGAATCAAACAGAAAGAAGCAGGAGCAGTTCTTATACAAAACAATAGACAGTAACCTTACGATACAATTAATTTACATGATACCAGGGAGAGATCAGGAAGAATTCAAAAGGATAGAATTTGGAAGTGGAAAATGAGGGGATGGGGGAAGAGGGTTCCATATTATCCGTAATGATAATAAGTACAACGATTTATATATTTGATAGCTTCAACAACAAAATGCCATGTCTTAGGTGTGAAACTTATTCGCCTTTACATGAGGAACCTATAGAGCTGTACGTATTTCTGACGCCAGGTTGATAAGATAAAACATGGCACATAGTATTGTCAATACATTTGACATGTCATCATTGACATAAGTCACACTCGACTGATTGTCGATGTAATGAAAATAAGTGATCTGCGTCTACTGCATTGTTCTAGTTTAGATTTCGCCCATCCGTGACCCCAGTGACGCGTATTTTGAGCAGGACATTATCCTCACCCTTCAGGAACGTGGGACCATTTTATCTGGCCTCAGGGTCATCACGTCCCAAGACGACCATCACCTGTAACTATGGAGCATCAGGTTGTAGGTAGCCAACCGCTACACAGGTTTCATTGTCACCAGGCGCGTATTCCTTGGTTTAATTGTTGTTGTGAAATGTATCCACTTTGCTGGATCTGATTCATTGGGTTCATGGTTGACACGTGATTGTTCATGGTATTGCCGTATGGGGGCGCTGAGTAGGCGAAAGGGTTGACGTTGTATGGCGCGGAGTACGGTTGAGTGACGTTCTGACACGGTTTACCGTCCCTGACCAGGACCGGAACATGAACCCGACGGGGAGGTCCGGGTTGCATGCTGACCATTTCTACGTTTTTATCCTGTCGTTGACGCTTACATTTGTATCTTCTGTTTTGGAACCATATCTTAACTTGTGTTGAAGTTAATTTTAGAATATTGGCTAATTGTTCTCGTTCTGGTGCTGATAAATATCTTTGTTGTTTAAACCTTCTTTCTAATTCGTAAACTTGCGCTTGAGAAAATAGCACTCTAGGTTTTCGTTTTTGTCGCTGTTTCATTAAATGGCATTCACCTTGTTTGTCTTTAGGTGTCTTTTCTTTCTCATTCTCAACTCTGGAATCGTTCAGGATGTTTGGTTTATCTGCAAATATATAAAACAAATAGTTAATTTTTTTTACGTACGAGGAAGTATTGTTTTAGGTACGTAACATGGTGTGAACTGCGTACAACATTATACGTTATATACAAAGGCTATATCAACTGCCTTTGTTGCATTACAACACAGTATACGACATTATAGAAATGAGTTTAATTTAAAGATAAGAAATTACGATGGTGATTATCCAGCTTCCTGAATAAATTATATGATTAATGTGATAGATAGAGGATGTGAGTAAAAGAACCTTAATATGTGGATTCTGACTAAATTATTCTAAAAATAATCAGTATACATGTAACAAAATTATCGGAAATTTGAACAGTCATTAATTAAAGCCGTATATCTTAATTAAATACTAGCTGTTTCCCCCTTGCAGTGTCAATAGAATGATAATCAAGTGTTATAATTAAACTGTATATTCGCTAAGTGCATGTTTTAAGGAGTGCATTCCGGTTGCCCCCTCACCTCCAACGGGTTAATTGGTGTGTTGCACTGCGCAAACAAAATGCGTATTAAAATTTCGTAATAAAATTACTATTTTGAGATTAATTTTCCTTGGCACTGAAATTGATGGTATTACTAAAATGATCATATCCGTTTATTTGTGTGTTATATATTAAAAAAGAACCTACAGAGCTATTTAAATGGAGATATCAGTTTCAGATCCTGCGCACATTTTATCAGATATGTGGGCACGCGGACGGATGTGTATGTAGTCTGTAGGTGTCACGAATCATTGTATTACATGTGACTCTCTTGTCATATAATTTGAGTAATGTCTATTAATTGATGTCATTGATAAATATTATTCTTACAGTTAACGACGCATTTCTAATTAAATCTTTAATGGATTTAGATATGATTTTTAAATGATTAGAAGATAAAGTAACAAAGACGGAAGAGAATGACATCTTCCTAACTAGAATGCTCAGATACATCGCTAATATTTATTTCGTTTCGGATTTTTTCCCCGTTGACAATTTGTTCCTCATTGTTTAAAATTCTGCCGGCATGACTCCGTGTGTGGTTCACTTAGTAAATAAACAGATATACACTCATATGGTACCCTGAAACAACTTATGTTACTGCCGAATCTAGCTTTCGCACGTCTGTTATCGGGACGTCCTAGATCTAGCAGTATAGTGTGTAGTTACATGCTCATTTTGAATCATGTTTCACATAAGGTCATACCAAGGTTAATCAGTACTTTATGTGGTCTGCGATATGTCAGTAGAACGGTGACAATGTTCTCAGTAAAACCTAGGACCCAACAGGAATGATATTTAGAACCGTAGATTTTTTATATAGTATATGTATTTCATTTGTAACTTTTCCATATCCAGTCATCATAGTCACTTGATTGATGTGAAAACTTCCAAAATCGATATATGGACAGTTTTTTAGAACAAATCGTTTGACGGATAAATCATTGTCGAACGGACGGATGAGAAAAAGACGGACGTCAATGGACAGACAGAGGGGTAAGAATGAGGACAGACTATTACTAGAAAGGTTGCTATGTGGTTTGTAAACGACATGGTTATTACGGAGATCAACAGTAGGGCGTTTTTCGCGGATATTAGAACCAACTGTACGACTGTGGTGCGGTAATTGATTGTACACCCCAGCGCTCTCTTTATAGTTTTGTTTCCTGAGACACCCATGATACGACGGCCTGTTCCTACCCCCTCGTCCCTAGTTTCACGGTTATACTAATGTTCCCGGAATGACATTTCTTTATTAAAATTAAGTGGCCGTTGATTAAGCTTGGTGTCTATATTTCCGTAGTATTAATGAGAAACACTTTTAAATATTCAACTAAACGTTGATCGGTGAAGCTGTGGAGCGCGCGAGCACTGCACCGGAAGGACAGACTTTGATAAGGGAATATGGTATTCATATAGAAAATGGAGGGATATGATCTTAGGTGGTAATATGTAAAGGATAAGTTTAATACCGGGAATGGATTGAATGTTTACATGTTTAATTATAGTGAAGACCAGTTATAACTCAAAGTATGGAAAAGGGGAAAATGATAGTACACGACAGCAGGTAAATCACGTGTGGATTTGACTTCCCTACAGTGACAATATCAGTGTAACGCATTGTTCTACTGATATTGGCTTTAAGTTTTAGATTTAAATATTCATTAAACATCACTAGTAGGGATTCAGATAAGTAATCCCGGAAGACTAAACGTTTTCCCAGTCCCTAACTCTAACCGGAAACATGACACACCTATCTCCGATTAATCAACGAGAGGAGGAAGTTTTACTTTGTAAAATAAGAGGATTTTCCCAGAATTCAAAATTGTTTCTAATAATAGAGACGTATTTCAACAATAAAGAATCACCGTTGTTACAGGAATCACAATGATATTGATTGTGTATTTTCTCTTTAACAACTTAATAGTGTTTCTTAGAAGTGCATTAACACTTACTCCTTACTTGAAATAGTAAAAATCAATCTATTTTCCTAATTCTACTTTTGTTTGACAACAACATCACTGTAAATCTGCTTGGATCAGTAACGCATTGGCTCTTTAGTAGACACGGAAGTCATATATTTTCGAACACCACAGCCTTACGCGAGACTTTGAGTGTTAAGATTTGTTGATTAATTATGACTCCACAATGGCATATCAAATGTATCAAATGATGACGTCATCATATCGAGCTGTAGTTATACTGCATATAGTGATGACACGGTGGATACGTCATCACAACATTGACACGTGAGAAGAGAAGTATAATGCAGAAATACAAACGTATGGAAAAAACAATGTCCCTCTTGGTGATATCATTTTCATATGAAGTATTAATCCACCAGTGGAATGCAATTATTAAGAAATTTACAAGGTATTAGCGATATCAGTCAAAATTATGAAAATTAATCCTATCTTTCTAGAGTCATTCGATACTCCTCTAAATTTCAATAACTTCCTTGAGCGTGTGAGTGTTTTTGGTCGGATCATTCTCCAACATCTCGGTTGGGTGAAGGAATAATTTTTATCTTGTTCTTTCTTTCCGATGAAAGAGACCACCGATTGTAAACAATTACACTGGCATCCGAAACACACGTACACATTATCAGTGACCCGGTGTTGTCCCGGGCCTGATAACTTCTGTAGGGTAGGGCTATCGGGGAGGGGGAGACGGTCGGTCTCATCTGGAATGTTTACATTTACTTAGTGGTGGGTAAATGTCTCTCAATGATGAGAGGTAGTAAAACTGATTATTCATTGTGCATTTAGTATAAAGACTCTCCCCCGCATCATTATGACCAATATCTAATGCTATGGTTGAGTAACCATCACCAGCCTCTGTAACTGTATACAAACTAAATACCAGAGATATCCCAAATAACAGTACTCATTCGGTACCCCTCGGAACACAAGTCCACAACTTCACAAGGGTATACAATAACTCATAAATAAGCCCGCGTGTGATGTGGTTCCGGTCCTTTTGGAATGACGTCGAAGCGTGAAATCTGCCAGATATATGAAGCAAGCAGGGAGGTACACATTTTATTGCCGTATATTTAGACCCAACGAACTGACTGACCCCTGCCTCTGATGAAAAACAGTTGACGATTTTTTTTCTGAAACTTTTATCTCCCATCGGGAACACAGGTTGGATATATACAGTATATGCTACGAATGGGGAAAGGGTATGATAAAGCATACACTCGATTCTTAATGCTATATTATATGTATATGTTTGTAATTATGAATGAAATCAAGTTTCTATTAAAATATACACTGAACATATATCATATATGATTTAGGACAAAACAAGTTATAAATTTAAGCAAAATTTTCTAACATTAATTTGTAGTCCAATCAGAACTTTGTTTTTGTTTTCAAAGAAAAGTGGACTTTCAACTATTTTGGAGACCAAGTTGATTTTTTTCATCTATCTACATATTAACTGTACGTAAGGGGTTTTGAGGGCGATGATTTAAGAGTATGTAATGTATTTGACTTGAAATTTCCTGAACATTTTGCCGAATTTTCTAAAACACGGAAGTTATATATTGTTCTATTTCTAACTGTAATGTATTATTAATAGAATATTATAGAAAGCTTCAAGCAAATATAAAAAAGCGTAACGAGAAAATTGTATATTATAGAAGATAGAAAAGACAACAAGGTAATATTTTTAAATACTCTTGTATGATATTCAAAAGTAAATGATGAGTTTCCCCCAAAGAAATTGATTGCAAATAAAATTGTCATAAATATATATATATATATGTCGTATCAGGAAGCACTAGATTTTTGCTCTAAACCATTTAAAAGACATGCCGTCGTTATTACTTGTAAATAATTGTTACATAAGTTTCACAGTCGAAAAGGGTCAGGAAAACTGCGTGTGTCTCAGAATTGTGGATAGAATGGAATTGAAATTGCCAGATGATTCCGTGTTGAAAACTTGCAGAGAATGAAATACAGTTCCTTGACAGGAAATCGCTTTAGGAAATTGCATATGTGAGATATATATCCGAAATTTAAACATCTGTGCAGCGAGATCCTACCGATAAGTTTATACATTTTAATAAAAATTTCCGCTTTGCAGTTAAATGTACGTATGGTGAATTCTGTTTAACACGCTCATTCCAATTTATTCTGAGTCTTCCACATTTTTTTGTATATTTGAATTATTATCAAAAACTTTAGTTAGCAGGAATAATTAGTGTGACTTTGTACAGAAATCTAAACTTTACACTCTGACAATGTACTCTTAAAGAATACGACAAACTAAATGGAAAAAGTAGATAAAACCCCAGTTCATAATGATTAATAGAAATTCTGAAATTCATATTCGTTCAATTTCTCTCAAAATAATGACAAAGAATGGGTGTTGAAGTGTGTTCTACCTCATGAAGCCAATCGGTCAATCCGTCTTTACGGAGGTAACGAGTTGACAGTCTCAAGCCGGCTACACACTGGTACAGATTATGTCAAGGACTAACACTTGATATCATAATGCCCGAAAACCGAGTTATAACTTAAGCAACACTTCAACATTTATCCACTCTTCAACATCTAACGGATAAGAAATTGTAGACGAAATCAAATTAAACCAATAACTATATGAATATTATTGCACAAATTGGTACAAGGACTAATTAGTAAGCAGATCTGCGCCCGTGATGTCTATCAACTTTCGTTTTTCCCTCTCTGATAGCCAACTTTGTGCCGTCACAACCTTAGACTTGGTGTTCCTTTGAACCAAGGATTAGAGCCCTCACATAGGCTTAACGTTGCTGCTTACGTTTTGTGGCAACGGTGGGATACAAGTTGACCTCCTGCTGCGATTTGAATGAAGTTTACTGAGAGGATAGAGTGATAAAACTATTGCCTAGCTATATATCTCCACATCTAACTGCCCGTGACATTTGTATATGTATAGTGTAAACTCTGGAGAATAGCTGACTGAAGCCTAAGTAGCTCGCCACAATATTAACAGGTAGCAGCTTGGAAAAACGTTTACTTCATTTTTTAATAAAGTGATTTTTTCCTAGTAAAATGACCAAAAATGAATAAATGAAAATACAATATAAGTAATAGATAGACATGTACTTATGGTATGAAAGATTTACACTCACTAAGCTTCCCCAGCCGTGTTATTAATCATTTCTGTTATATCAACTTTCACTCCGACATTAGCACATTCTTAGGGTCACCAAATGTTATGTCCGGCATTGTGACAACATATTTATGACGGCGTAAAATTTCCCAATAACATTCGTAGAACTAAATATTTCAATGTATATGTTATAATTCCTTTGTACATGTATTCTGTTTATAACTGATTATATATATATATAAGTAAAAATGATTTTTGACTTTCTTCTTTTGTCAAAAATCATTTTTACTTATAATTTACTCGCATCTCGTCAAATCAAGTTTTTTTCTATATATATATTTCTGTCATATTCAAGTTTTATATTCGGAAATAAGTACATTACACATTGTAAGATTTTATCTAAGTAATTTAGCCATTGTGTATCATAGATAATTTGATTAATATCCCTGCTATTGGATATCATTTCAGTTTATCATGTAAGAATATATTCTTTACCAAATAAGCAGAAACACTGTATAAAATAATTACAAATTCACAAATATTATGTTGAATTGTGATGGATTATGAGACGTTTCCGGATATTCACAAAACTCGCATTTTCCCGGTTTGTCGTAGTTTTGGTACAAAGCGTTGGTGTATCACGACCTATGCCAGATTTCCGAAAACCGCACAGCTTATCCCGAGAACCTAGAGTGCAACGGGCACTTCCTTTGTATCGTATCCGGCGGATTGAGACTAGTCAGTGAAGTCAAGGGTCAACAGATCATCACGTAGTCATACGAACAGCCACTTTCCTCACATATTATTTAGCCAATACTCTGTTGTTTTGATTTTGAACATCGAACAAAGTCGGAAGTTAAGAAATATTTTTTCAGTCGTAAATACGGTTAAATAATAATGTACATATCAACATATCTTTGACAATTTCTCGTTTCTTTCTTTCTTTTTTTTTTTTTTGTTTTTTTGTTTGTTTGTTTTTTGTTGCTTGTGATTCGGTTTTCCCACTTTTTTTATGCACGGCCAAAGCCATATCTCTACTGAAATCAAGATTTAATACATATGTTAGTCCTATACTAATATTGAATCATGCGTTTAAGATATTTCTTTGTCGGTTTCTACGGCTAAATCTAACTTTAGAAAATTTTGATGACAGAATTATAGGAAATAAATTATCTTTGACATAATATATAATATAAAGATTTAATAAGGGAACGTCTATCTAGAAACGCGAGTTACTTTATGTAGAAAAATAATTTTATACCCTATTTAATGCATTACATTTGAATAGAGATAATCCCTTCCGTGTTGTACATGCATTTTTAATATAAGGACACAATTAGAATAATCTATTTGACGTTATTGTTCGATTTTGATGACGATAGAGCATTGTTAATTAAAACGCTTTAAAGTTCAATTTCAGATAAAGTGCTTTAGTCAAATTGTAATTTGTAAAGTACTTTTAAGTGTGATGGTGTGATACAATTGACCGCGAGCAACAATTATAAGTACTTCATTGATAGTCTAAGTACAAAGATTGTTTAAGTGGAATTTTAAGATAAAAGACTATAGGACTTGACAATCAGGTACACATTTCCGATATTTGTAAACCAATAAACGTGTAGACAAGGCAGACAAATTCAATACACTAAAGCTTTTCACACAGTATATATCGGTACAATTCGGTAAATATTTCAGATGTAATCAAGTTTTGATGATTAACTGATCGGTCGTAAGGGCAGCAGACTTGAGTAGTAATTAAATACCTCGCACGTGTCACACAGACTGCAAGAGTTTTGTTTCATTTTAAGCATTATAAAGATAAATGTTTTTACATAAGTTAACTGACGCTCTTTCACTGTACAGTTTTATCATTCTTAAATTGTTTTTATGCTTTATATATTTAAACATTTTTATATTTTCTGGCATAATATTCTCTCGAATTAGAATTTCTCTTGCCAACTTATACCAATGCAATTTCTGCTAGACATTTTACCCTCGCTTTACCGACATATATAAATACTATTTATCTAGAGCCGATCTCTCTGAGCTTATCAGAATTACAAAAATCCCCTTCTTCCCTAACACGTCTTTAAAAACGTCTATAGAATAACCAGATAATTAACGGACATCCTTCCACTATATCTAAACGAATTTAGGACATATTTCTTATAAAGAAACATATAGTTGGGTGTCAGATCCATTATCTTGGTTGAAATGAAGCCGTTCCAGCGTTCAGAATCATGTCTCTTATAGTTATTTATTCAAAATCACAGCAGGCTATTTACTCCGGGGTGTGTGAAATGTTAGGGGGACCGCTGAGACCAAAAGGAAGTCGAACGGCCACCGACTACCGTGTGTTCACTGTGGTGCCAGATGAAATAAACCACTAATTGAAGGAATTACAACTAATTTTTAACGACGGAATCACGACAAATGTGTTTGCTAAGTCAATGCCATTCTTTAAGACAATGTGTCTCATGTTTTGGTAAGAATTTAAATTTTATATATGAATGTCTGGCATGTGTCAGTACCACTTCATTTCTAAACTGAAAAAATGTCGTAAAGTTAAGACAAAATGCATTATTTATAACAAGGGTGGGTTGTTGGCGACAATATAAAATTGACGAGAGTCTTTACCGTACAACTGCTTCATTGTATATAGAAATAACTTTACGTGGAAGAAATATGCAGTTTATGATAGTTATAATAACGTAAGGTGTGAGTAGTCATTGGTTTTACAAATATTAAATACAAAGGATTATAATATATATACTATCATTTCACTTTGTTTTGTTTCATATGTTGATAAAACATATAAGTTCTGTTTTAACGAAGATGTGCTTCAAAGATCACAGATTTCATAAAGATATTACCTACATTTATTTTATATCCTTTCCGATTTCTTAAAAGCAAAGAGGATCTTACAGTAGAAGAATCTGAAGTCAGGGAACACTCCGTAGTATATATAAGGCGAGAATAATGAACAAATAACATCGACCTGTATACAATTGATGAAATTAGTGTTGATATCATCTTTAAACATGCCATCGACGCAAAAGTAAGCACTCTATTGAAAAACGGGTTTAATTTACTTGTATAGAACCTGGAGTGTACCCTCTTGTAGTCTCTTATCGATAGTGCAGAATACTGAAATGTTCGAGTACCTCAAAGTAAGAGCAGGGATGTGCCCCAATCGATGTATGTACACAGCATGAAGAGTCACTTGATTACTCTCATGAACGAGACACTATCCCTACCACTTACAATATCTCCACTTAAAAGTAGAATACTTACGCTTTTCAACCATTTCAATGATATCGTCTTCTTCACGTTTTGGAGTTACGGCATGGGATGTCTGGTGCATGTTATGATGATGCTGACTTTGGTCCAGCATGTTTGTCGCCGGTAAGGATGTAGCTCCGGCTTGTGGTATGTCATGTTCCATCTTTGTTGAGGCGTTGTCTGTCACTCCCGTGTGACCGGGCGGGGCCTGGTCCGAAGGCTGGGGTCCAGCGTGGTTGTGATTATGATTACCCCCAGGTATGATGTGGTCCGACCGAAGAGGCGATGTTTGTGGATTTGTATGAAGTGTCATTCCCATGGAGGACACAGTTGGTGGACTACACGACAATGTAGTGTAGGTAGGTTGTTGCATTGGTGTGCCACTTGGCGATGGTGTACTGCCGTATAGACAAGAAGAGTTATTACCAAAGCCTATCTGGTCACTTACTCTGTTATTACCTGACATGTCCAAGCAGTGTCCATTTCCAGCCATAAAATTCATATTGTTAGGATAATCTAAAGCACAGTGTTCTGTCCAGTTTCCCAAAATATCTCTGACAGAAAAAGGTGTTGATAGAGGATGGTTAAAATTCATCTTCTATATAAAGTTGTACCACTATTACTGATGACTACAAGTGTTGTGATGTTTCTCAACCACTTACTCGCCTGTACTCTACTCCTCTTGAGGACGGTGACATTAACACTTCAGCCAGGGGTATTCGGTTATATTGACGGGCACATGCTCATGTAGTCGTCAGTATCGGGCCGTCACTCTCTGCTGAAACAGCAACCCCACAGTCAGTATCCGTCTCGGCCAATCACTGCGCCGGCCTCGTATCACGGGACGCAGGGATTTCCTGCTGAAAACTTACAGGAAGGAACCTTCTCTTACAGTCATGTGTAGGGCTGTTTTACAAACAAGTATAGATACAGAGCTATGATAGTCTTAAATAATTGCTGATAAATAATTTCTGGAAAATCCCCATTTTGACACTTTCGTTATTCGTTTTGTGTTCGTCGTTAACTAGAAATAAGGAATAGGTGATCATTTCTACTTTCATAAAGTATCACATTACACAGGAATGCAATGATAAGTCATTAAGAAGTTTTGACAAATATTTTTATGTCAGTATATTCTGAGGCATTGTTGCTTTCTCTTTTGCCGGGGTACCTTTTTATACACTAGAATGGTTACTTTTGATAAATTAGATAAAACGTAGATTTCAGTATACATAGCCACTATAAAGAATGTGAAGGTTTTCTGTTCCTTCAAATGACATCTTTCTGTATATAACTGGATACAAGTTGTAGATTACACTGTAAATGGGGGCATTTTTCTCTCGTTTACCGCCCGCGAGCTATGGGTGGTTTGTCTCAAACTTCATCGTATTATTCTCTCGCTAGCCAGCCACTGTACCGCTTGGCGGCAAGTCACAGAACAGTTTACCCAAAACACAACAAAGTATAGGCCGTCTGTCGTCGCAGATCCTCGTTTCCATCTCCCAGGTTTAATTTTATCGAAGCATGGCAGCCGTAACATTAACAATGCCGTGTCCTGACTTCCAAATAGCCCGACTTTCTGTTTTTCTCCTATGTCAGTTCCTATCTTGTAACATATCATTGCTATATACACAGAAACCCTAATCAGAACGGCCTTGTCAGATACCCATATCGCCGATATAGACCTACGTGAAACGCTAAAGGAATTGTCTCTACCTCACCTACCAGTGTAATAAGACAAACAATATCAACCAGAATTCTTTATCAATCTTTTGGGATAAGTGCGGTGTCAACTACATCCAAGTTCTATAAGAACGTGCTACATCTGTATGGTTTAAATGAAATATGTGTCAAAATGTCACCACATGTGTTTTCTATGCTACATGTGTTTAAAACCACACATGACAATTTGTTAATGTTCTGTGTTTTCTATCTGGTATCTGGGTAAAATTTGCAGATATCGCACTCATAACCTACGCACAAAATTGTAAATATTCTGCCACTAACACTGAATCAGGGTTAGTGCCTGCTTTGCCCAGAGAACATCAATTCTTGCTTTATTTTCGCCATTTTATAGCTATTATGATGATAATTAAAACATTTTAGAAAATAAATCAAATCTTATTGGCTGTTACAACATCGTCTCAAATGTACAAATCAGGATACACAGAAAATAATTTTGTCATTCTGTTATTTATTTCACCTAGCCCGATGGTGTGAAGTGGTTTGAATATCGACTCAGCGACCAGATGTTCATGAAACATATTAACTTGATCGGTAGAAATATATATGTATATACCATTTTGTATTCAAGCTTGTAATGTATGAGATAACAAAGGAGAATGGTTATTATATATGTCGTGTACTTATTTGCGAAATCGAAACTTTATACGAGGAAGGAAGTCCCGCATCTATATTTAAACGATATATGTAATTGTTGAGGCAGGCACTCACTTAATGTTTCATTTATGATTCTTGGTTATGGTTCACTTTTCAGTAAACCTGTGATATTTTGATTTAAATCATGTGCTTGTCAGGGTTTCCCCTCGTTACAATTAATTGCTGATTACCTTTATGCATAAAGAGCAAAACAAAAGAACAAAATACGATGTGGTGAAAGTCTGGAGGACATTTATAAGAATTTACATCTTACATCAAGTTATTTACTTTTTCTGGAAACCAGGAAAGCAGAAAGGGAAAGGGAAATATAGACTAAAACATGTTATGAAAGTGTGAAGATCTAGGACAGTTAAATTAATTAAAACAGACTAAAACATGTTAGGAAAGTGTTAAAAAAAAACGAGGCAGTTAATTAAATTTAAACAGACTAATCATCTTATCAAAGTTCGGAAACCAGGAGGGCAGATAAGGAAAAATTAAGTTTAAGGCAGCTTTGGAAAAAATGAACAAAATAAGAGGGCAATTAGGAAAATCAAAGTAGCATAAAACATGTAAGAAAAGTGTGGAAATCACGATGATAGTTAGGGAAACAAAAACAGACTAAAGCATGTTAGGAGAGTTTGGAAATCAAGAGGACGGTTGAGGAAATTGAAACAGACTTAAACATGTTTGGAAAGTTTGGAAATCAGAAGAGCGGTTGAGGAATTGAAACAGACTTAAACATGTTTGGAAAGTTTGGAAATCAGAAGGGCGGTTGAGGAATTGAAACAGACCAAAACATGTTAGGAAAGTTTGGAAATCAGGAGGGCGGTTAAGGGAATTGAAAGAGACCAAAACATGTTAGGAAAGTTTGGAAATCAGGAGGGCGGTTAAGGGAATTGAAACAGACTTAAACATGCTGGGAAAGTTGGAAATCAGAAGGGCGAATAGAAATGTTAAAACAGAGTAAAGCATATTAGGAAAGTATAGATATCAGGAAGGAGGTAAAGAAGATGAAAACAATCCGAAAAACTATTTGTCATAGTTAACCTATCACAGTTGAATCATTTGGATATTACAAAGTTAAACGTTTATCTGTATGCTTTTAGGGTACGACTTCATTATATTTTGTATGCAGTTTTCTGGTAGATAAGAAATTTCATTACCTTTTGTGTGCATTAAGGGGTAGTTTTACTATTTTTGTAAAAAGTAAAGACTTGATTAATAATTTTTGTATGGTGGAAGTTTGATTATTTTCTACACTGGTTGTTTAAATACATTTGTATGATGTTAAGGAAGTTGTCTTATTTTGTAGAATGTTCAGTTAGTCTTATCAGATCTGTATGCAGCTAGATTTATTATTTTTGTTTGCTTTGATAATATATTTCTTTGCTTTTTGTTTTCTTGTAGTTGTTATATCCTGTGAGAGTAGTTTGATTATATTTACGTGTAGAAAGGGTAGCTTTTTCAATTTAATATACTATTAGAGTAGTTTTATTATTTTACGTGTATAAAGGGTAGCTTTATCAATTTAATATACTGTTTTAGTAGATTTAGCATTTGTATATGCGTTGAGGTTAGTTTTTTCATTTTCATGTGATGTGAGGGTAGTTTTACTATTTTTGTGTTGGTCGGGTAGATTATATTATCTCTTTATGCTGTTAAGGTAATTTATTATTTCATATCCTGTTAAGGTATTTTTTATCATTTTAAATCCTTTTAGGGGATATTTTTAATTTCTGTATCCTGTAACTGTTCTATTCTGGTATTATGTTGGTACTTAATCCAATCATTGATTGCATTTGCTTGTCATACTTTTGTAGTTTCTGCATGATTTAAAGATACACAGGTAAATCATTTTTTATAATGTTTTAAGGGTTCGTTTTGATGTAATGGTAGGTACAGATTCATACCTTTCATATAAGGATAAAACGTTCATGGTTTTAATTGTATTCTGTTGGTTTCGTATTTTGATAAGATAAAGTATGCTGATAATCAATATAGTGTAAAAACTTTTTTTTTTTTAATCTTGATCTAATTTTAGGAAACTGTTTTGATACTGTGATTGAGTTATTTTTGTTTTTAAAAACTGATTTTGGGAAACAATTTTGATATTGTGTTATTTATGTTATTTTTGTATTTTTTTAAAATCTGATCAAATTTTGGGAAGCTGTTTTGATACTTTAAATGATTTGTTAAGTTGATGATGTGTATGATTATTTCATTTTGTTATAAAATTAAGTCATTGCTCAAAATGTCTCAAATATCGAATTTGAATTTCATCAAAGATTTCTGAGATATATGGCTAACACATGCGATTATTCTTTTTTTTTTTTTTTTTGACTTAATATTTATTTCAACATATTTTGTTATACACTTTAGCTATCTATGCCATTAAAGTAGTAGCAATGGTGACTCGGGGTTTCCTGTTGTGGAACGCACAGCGTGCAGCGAAATGTTGGTAATATCATTTGATGACATTATCGATGAATAATATAGCCAAATCGTTCGTTGTGAGTGAGTATTTATCAACTGTTCGAGGGAAGGTTTGTTATCAATAATATTGTAATAGTAATATGAAGATATTTGAGAAAGCGTTGTAAATTTGTTCCTTTGCATTGCTAATGTATGATATTAAATTGTACTTACGTAATTTGTTTGATTTGAATAATAATAAAATACTCATTTGACAAATTATTGATAAAAAACATTGTATGTATATTCATGACGGGTCGTGTTGATAAAAATAATTTTAGTTCTTTTGAAGTCACTATTAAAATCATTGATAAAGATGATGTCTATGATTCAAACTTTACCAAAACATACATATGCAATATTTTATGCATGGAATAAATTAAAACGCTAAATTGTTACACTATAATATTTGATATTAATGTATAAATGTAAAACAACAATGAAAGAAATAGGTCAAGCGTCCTTAATCCAAAATCCTTTGTTTTAAGCAAATGAGGTTAAGTAAAACTTAATCGTTTTATGTGTTTAATAAACTTTGTGTGTAAGTGCGCCGATATCAACATGAAATCAAGTTTAGCACTGAATGCCAGAGGCATTTTAACAGAAATATTTCCGGATTTGTTACACCACGTTAAGTACAAGTTTTATAATAAATGTTTCACGGCGTATATTAAAATGCCAAAACGTACTCCCAGTAAAACAGATGAACAATTACGATAAAGTTTGACTTTGGGGTAGAATGTGCCTTCTCTGATCCTGTAATACATGGAAGGTAAGCGTGCAACGTATCAGTGTTATCGTCGGTTTTAATGAGTACACGAACTATCTTGTTATGTCAGAAGATGAAAGCACGACGATATGCGATGACTATCACTATGTCGAGGGGTTTAGAAAAGATTAGGACTTTACTCCGAGGAACGGGACTCGAGCATATCCCCAGTCCGATCTGTGCTTCCTGATGTAAAGGAATTCCAAAGTAAATACCTACAAAGATGGGGCTGATATTACCAGTTTCATTTTCAAAAATTAATTACAAGTTTTAATTCCCTTCTGCTAATGCTTAAGCTAGTGTCATCAATCATTAAACATAGTAAACATATGGACATAACAGACACGTTCAATACTGTTAGATAAAGCGCTAATTCTCATGCATGTTGTGGATTTTGCATAAGTCAAAAAGAAAAAGTTGAGAAAATAATCCTCGATCCCAAAGAAGTTGTCCTCAATGAATGATAATTCCTGAATGATTGTAATTTGTTATAGACATTTATTATGACAAAACATAATCGGCGGAATACGAACACAGTGATTATAGATGCGACAATGCAAAGGACTGGAACTTCTAACTCACTGAATCTTTATGCATTGTGTTAGTCATCAGTGATTTCGAGACCAATGCCTTTCATTATCTTATGAGAGCAAACAATGTAAGAACCCATCCCTTTGTTTAACTATTTTATATTTAAAGTGTTGGGATACAGGTGCGAACAAGATAATACTACAGAAGACAAACATATCGTACATTTTATCACAAATTAGCATATCCAAAATAATTAATGAAAATTCATCACAACGCCGTTTCTTGGCTTTTAGACACTTCATGTAATTCTAAAGGCATGAATTGTTGAAACGTAAAAGGTGGGATGTAAAACTCTATTCCGCCAAACCATACTTTGAAATATTAAATAACCAGATAATTAAGAAATGATCGTTATTTCTTAACACTTTATAAATATTTCGAAAGGAGAACATGTATTAATTCGAAATCTGGACAATGCTGTAGGAATTAAATATGCCATAAAGAGTGGTAGGGTAAATCTCTAAGATTGCTGTCCCAATAGTATATCCCATGTATTCACAAACAAATGTTCTAAAGGTACACAAGTAAATAGCGCCTTTCATTTAACTGTATAACAAATAATTAATAAGAAATGCTGAATTTCATGGCTCTTGCCGCAAATAATATTTCATAATACAGTTATCATCAAGTATATGATATTAAAAAAAGTTTTCGGTTAAATGTAAGATAATCGTACGATAATAATATGACAAATTGGCTAATTTAGAATATATGAAGGTCATGTTAATGTGGCTAATGTTAAAGATAAATGAAACATAATTCAATTACTGAACAGGTCGTTGAAATGACAAAGAAAACAAAATTTTGTAAACTATTATAACCTTAACGGATCGCTATGTCTCTATATGATCAAAGAAGCACATGGTATACAGGACACCTTTTTTTTAGCAATATTGAATGTTGGCATATTTTCACTATTCTTTATAAAATACTTATCTCTGGCAATGATAAGAGTCGTCATTTTGTTTAAAATAACTGATCTAATGGGTTTTCATAACCGTGCATTATAGCAAGAATAATGATATTTTGCGCACTTTTTGTTTATATAGCTGTCTGTTATCAAGTACTACAAGTGCTTCGTCATTTTCACTTTACTTTATGTCATAGGAGCTAATTTATTTCAACTGAAAAAAGTTCCAAAATATGCAGTTGTTTTTTTGTCAATTTATTCTTAAGATTATTATCATATTTTATCTAGTATTATCTAGTCTCGTCAACATTAGGTCTTAATGTTGCACAGAAATGGTAGGTGGTGTATTGGACGATTTTAGTCAACATAAGAGTGCTATACACTTAATACCGCATGGCAGTACTCATACTTGGAATGTAGACTCTTGTCTTGTCAAGCATTGTTGTCAGATCGACGCCTATTTCACTAGGGAATATATCTGGTTACCTTTTATAAAATACCATCACAGAATAGTCACATTATACAAATATAACTGAACTTTGACATGCGGTAAAGTTGGAATGTCATGGATGCTCTCAACCCTGAATAGATATGTCTTACACAGTCCTAGGCTTTTCATTAAAGTTCAATATTTTGATTTTAATATCATTAATATAATTGAATGGTATCTCAATCTACATGATATATTTTGATTTTTATGAATTTCGTATACTTTTGAAATTCCTTATAAATGATTTGCATCATTGTTCGCAATGTTATGCTGATTGTGAAGTTCTATCTTTACTTCACAATGCTTCACGGGCAGTTTTAAACAGCAGAAACCATAGGATACAAAGTCTACTTCAGGAAAATATAGCAATGTTACAGTTTCTAATTATGCGTTATAACTAGATACAAACAAACATTAGTCCAGAGATGAAACGAACATAACAGTCAAAAAGCAATATTTGCCTTATTAACTTGCATAAGTCAAACACATTAAAACTCCTTTGATACACAGATAATTAAGATAGGTGATGTCCTGTAAACGGTGATTTTTGAAATAAAGATGACTGTTATCTCACAGCTATCGGGTCGTTTATTACGTTTCGAGTGGTTAATCTGGAATGTTCACGTCTGCCTATTGGAACACAGTAAGGACCCATTGTACGATAGATTACTCTCCCTTCAACGTAGCCTCCATCCACTTAGGCGATATATTGGAATGATGATATCTTCATAAATTGCAAAGTAGTTCTGTTCGGGAGTTAAAGATCTGAAGGTACATATCTGAGATCAGAGGAATACACATTTTGCTGACCAATGTTGATACTTACGAGCAATAAAACATTCCTGTACTATCAATATATTCAGCTGCTTTATCAGATACCAATTTTTGCAAAACATAATCAAGTTCCTATATAATATAGACATAGATAATTTGTATTTTGTATACGATTACACGATAAGAAGAAGTAGTTCTTATGTAAGTTTTTTTTTTGGTATTCGATCTGATGTAAAGATGGCGATACCAGAAGTGATTGTCTATTTATACAATATATTATTGGTATTATGAACAAATGAATGTCTGTTATTGCTGACGAAAGAATAAACAATTACTAGGTATTTCTATCCTGCAGGCAGTTTTATTATAAAAATTTAAAACTTTTTTAAAATTGATTTGTTGAATAAAAGTCGAAAATGTTGAAAGATGTTGCCAGTTTTATCTTTACTAGAGTCAGTTCGTGTTTTGATAAAGCGCTTTTAAGTTTATTTGAACATGAAAATCGGAATCCAACTTTTATGGTAATCATATCATATATCATGACAGCAAGTTTCAAGACATACTGATATCAATAAAGAACAGTCATTTAACATACCGAACAGTGACAAAAATAATATCTTAACTACTTTTTGACTACCCCATTGCTCTATTGTCATGTTTGAATTAAACTGTTTATCATCTCATAATTTTTGCAAACAGCCACAAAAGTTATTTTCTAATTCTCAAAGGTCCTGAACCATTTATGGTATATATTTGATTGATATTTTTTTTCATGTTACAACGAATATGCTTTTTGTATTTAAAACAATTCTCTAATTGATTTCTATATTCATTCACTGTAAATGTGCATGATGGTGTAAAAGTAGTTTTTCTGTATAAACAGAACTGTCATAGCTTACCATCCCTAACATCCCTGCTTCAAGTAAATGCCCCTTTATATTTAATGGTAACATATCTTAGGACAAAACATCTTACACACACACACACACACACACACACACACACACACACACACACACACACACACACACACACACACACACACACACACACACACACACACACACACACACACACACACACACACACACACACACACACACACACACACACACACACACACACATATGTATCATACCTATCTATACACTTTAATCTTTAAAAAAATGTATGAAATTAAAGGAGTAAATATTCCGTTTTTTTATAATCTATAAAAGTAATGACAATACGATATACTATTCGTAATTATTGAGAGATACATACGTTCTGGCTAGTCTGAATATTGAATAGAGAACGAAATTTATTTAAGAGAACTCAATAGTTACAAAATCAGTACATTTTAACTGATTAGATTTCATTATGTCTAAATTTTAAGATGGCCTTTACATAGCTTATGGAAACATTTCATAAAGTTTTGCCATACTTCGTCTGTCGCTTAAATTCATTGGGAAAAAAATCGTGGGATTTTAGCTACCATGGAATGGTATTGGAGTTTGGTTTATTGTATCGCCCAGGTATACCTAACGCTTAATCTTAAAACCGTAAATCAAATAACAACAAAATCTACACCTATCGGTTCTATTTTATCTAATATTGTAGGAACTATAAAGTGTCAGTAAGTATGTTTTGTTTCAATATTGTATATTAAGGTTGTACACACACTTTCATTAACTGTATCCTATCACACTTCAACACATTGTGTGGTGAGGACTAATGACTTACCGGAAAACAGTAGCCGTGAAAGATAATATTGATGACTCAAAGCATAAACAGTTCATTTCTTAATTCTTCTTTAGTGCGACCTGAAAACTGATGGTGAAACGCTAGTCTAGTATGATGAAGCACTGAACAATAATATAGGGATGATATTCGCTCGAACTTCCGAAATATGTAATTGTCTGATACAATGTAAACAATATTGACTTAATCTGAATTTCCTACAGAAATCTGTTGGTCACAAACAATAGAAAAAGGCGTAAATCGACAGGATGGGTTTATTTATAATCTGATCATCATACAAATATGTTTGTATAGCTGGGAAGAAATTGTAGCATGAAAGTACGCATAGACCTCTCCAACACTCATGGGTTACGTTGGTCTCCTTTGGAGACATTGGTAGGAAATATATTTAACATATATTTACAGGGCATGAGTGGTAAATGAATCAGCTACTCCTATGGCACTCGTAATCTTAACATCAAGACTTTCTTGTTAATAATTTTCTCGATTTTCCAAACAAAAGGTAAGCGTTCTATCCAGTAGCATGACGAGCAGGATGATTTCCATTTCATTTTGTGAATTTTCGTTTTCTAGTAACATTTCTGAGTCGTAACCGTGGTGTTCACGTGTAGACCATTCGATATTCAAACGCATGGCATCAATATCAAGATTTTCGTGCAAGATGTCGACAGCTGACAAAAAAAAAAAAAAAATCTCAGTGTACATAATTTTTAGAAATGGGGGTTGATGAAAATTAATTGGAAGTGTTATGATAACTGCGCTGATCTCACTGAAAAATACTTTATTTCCTTGCGCGAAATGAAGTCGGACGTCTTTGTTGTTCGTTAGTATGTCTGGTAGTTCGCTTTTTTATAAACGTCTTCTCATTTGTGGATATGACCAAAATACACATGACAGGTACCGTCGAGAAAGCAGAAAACGTCAACTCTTCTGGAACCTCAGACCTCCTTGTACTTTTCCGGATGTAGTCGTGTAATTAGCTCGTTTGTTCAAATTTAGATTCTGTTGACATATTGGTATTTCCGGTTTGTTTTGTTTCTGTTGATTTAACGATTTTCGATCATAATGAATATTTGCTATGTCGTTTCCGTTTTTTGTTTTTTTTAAATCCAATTGCATGCACTTGCCTAGGATAAATGTAAGATTAACAAACTTTCGATTCTTCATTGTTTGCTTATTGTTTTATTTTAAAAAGGAAAAGAAAAGAAAATGGAAACATTATATTCTGTAAGATGTCGTGCTGGTCGTTATCTTAGTTATAATAAAATCTTATATATATCAATTTAACTCCAAACAAAAGTGTGTTGAATATCATGGTATATCTTAAATATAATATCTGTTTAATAAGATTATTCATACTTCATTATTGATAATTTATTTGACAAATATACTTAACGTTTGGTTTATTGTTTATACACAGTTTCATTTTATATATCAAATCCCTACACCATTAGCAGACAAGGTAAACTATATACAAAGATATAGAAATATCAAAAGGAGTAAAAATACAGCATTTAATTAGTTTTATGGCATTTATTTATAATTGGTATTCCAGCATTTTATATTTCATGGAACACGATTACGTTTATTGTATCCTTTAATCCCTCATTCTGAATTTTAATAGGTCATATCTTCTGTGGCATGACAAAAGCGTCCACTGAAGAGAATGCTAATGTAGTATGGCATGGAATAGATTTGATCACTTGAAACAAAAGTAATGTATAATGAGAAATATGTAACATTTCAGACTTTAAGTTAAATGATATTTTGGTGATACTATTTTCATGTAGGAGAAGCAAAATTGAACGTTTCAAGAGGCTGATATATGCATTGTTACAACAGCGGCGAAATCTTATCCAAATATGTTAAAACAGATTTATATTGGTGATATTATGCGTCACACAATACTTACAGAACAATAACGTTTAATAGTCCTTTTGTTCAGTTGCAACATAATATCATCTGTAGGAATTTCCTTCTGCATTTAAGCAAATTGTGTTAATTAGTAATGAAACTCATATATGATTAGACAAAATATAGACATACTTGTCGATTTTATATCAATGACATTGAATAATGTAATGTTTTCGTCATTTTTTAATGCAGTCAGCTATTTGTTCACGGATTAGTTTAACGTCACAATGCATCGTCATGTGACTGTAAAAGCACATGATACTTAGAAGTCACGTGATCGGAAAGAGTGAAGTCATGTGATGTTACTTTCAATATGTAGTTATATTCCATTAAAACACTGTTGTAATAATATAGTAATCTTTTCCATCTTCAAAATAACAATTGGAACAAGAAGATTTTACATTTTAAGTTTTAATCGGTAAAAATCGACAAACTTTTTCTGATTAACCACATTAAGAATAAACTACACGTGAGTCAATGATATTGAATATTCATCAACAATATTCTTGAAATAAAACATATTTATATCTCCTACACTATGATAAAATAGATGTTATATTGTGCTTTCTCACATTGTAACAGCCACCATCACATCGGGACAAATGCTATGGCTATACAATGGTACAGTTTTGTAGCTGTCTTATCAGGAATAAATCAGGTTATAATTATTTAAAAATAGTAATTTCACTACATTTATGCTGTCTTCAACGAACCATTAATATTTTGCAGACTATAAGTGTAGGATATTTTGTCTGATACAGTATAGTAATAGGTGTTTAACAGCATTTAGACATGCTTATACGATGTTTATTTTTTGTACATGTTTAGTGATCAATGGCCTGAAATTAATATTTGTTGTCTATATGCATTATTAGTAAGTATGGTATTTATAGTAATTATTTTGAAGATATCTTGACTACATATTCGATATAAACTTATTTCAATTCATTCTTGGCATGGCGAGTCTTGTGTTACTGAAAACGACATATGATACATAATTATATTCAAACGATCATTTACACGCCCTCTTTGTGGTGTGTTGTATCAGAAAGTGAATTGTATATACATTTCAAATTGTATGTAAATTGTTATTGCACTTTATTTCTCAGACAAAGTTGTGTGGTATAAAACCGCTATATCATGATGGGTTACGTCATACACTATATATGTGTTATTTCTCACAGTAATCTTGACAATACAGAAATACAAACTGAGTTAGGTACTAATGTCCTGGTCTGAATGACTCGGATTAAATGGCATAGTTAGATTATTTTGACGTCGCCGTATACATAACTTTTACCTATTGTTATCATAAAGTAATTGTACCTCCTACTTACCAATTCAACATTATTTTGTTTGCCTGATTGTGACACTGTTTTACATATATCAACGTCAGTTATCTAACACTAACATACAGAACAATTATATGATGTATCATAACGAGCAGTTTGCAATTTTTCAATTAAGTTTGTCCTCTCAACAATTATCTAAATAAATCAAACTAAAATGACAAAAACTTCTCATGACTTTGACAAAGTTTTAGATGGTACTATATTAATTTCAAATTTCTGTAGTCTTTTAATTACACGTTCCTAATTAACTGTTCTATATCTTGATTATTAATATATATGGCACGTGGTGTTCTTTGTTGTCTATAATAATATTAAAAAGAACATCTGCTGTTTAACTGTTTAGATGTTATCTATCGGATATCGGGTGTGATGCTCTATTAGCCTTCACAACAGGTCAGGTGTTTATGTTTGACTTAATTGGTGTCAGTAGCAAGATGAGATATCCTGCTATTCTAGATAATGACGTTTATTCTTGGAGTCAGTAGCAAGGTAAGATATCCTGCTATTCTAGATGATGACGTTTATTCTTGGTGTCAGTAGCAAGATGAGATATCCTGCTATTCTAGATAATGACGTTTATTCTTGGAGTCAGTAGCAAGGTAAGATATCCTGCTATTCTAGATAATGACGTTTATTCTTGGAGTCAGTAGCAAGGTAAGATATCCTGCTATTCTAGATAATGACATTTATTCTTGGAGTCAGTAGCAAGGTAAGATATCCTGCTATTCTAGATGATGACGTTATTCTTGGTGTTAGAAGTAAGATAAGATTTCTTATATTCTAGATAATGATGTTTAGTTTTGGTTTCAGATACAAGATAAGATTTCCTACTAATCTAGATGATGACATTTATTCTTGGTGTCAGAAGCAAGATGAGATATCCTGCTATTATAGATGATGACATTTATTATTGGTGTCAGAAGCAAGATGAGATATCCTGCTATTATAGATGATGACATTTATTATTGGTGTCAGAAACAAGATAAGATATCATACTACTCTAGATGATGACGTTTGATAACATATATAGGTGGTATTCTTCTGATATTCCTCGGTATATCTGAAACATTGTCTTAGGCAACAGATATACTGTAGAGACACTTAGGGGATATGTTAAGTCGACTACATATTTAAAAAAGCATGTTTAAAGAAACTTATTTTCATAAACTTTTAAAACAGGTTATTTCTATTTTTCACATGTTAATATGTACAAGTTTATTTACGAATTTCAACTTCCATAGGCTAGATGTTATAATACATTTATATTACTATATTTGCTCGGAGAATTCTGACTTGTTATTACACAACTAAAAACAAACTTGTTGGTTATGTGACGAAAGAGTTGTGTGAGGATCAAATCAGACTCAAGAATTTATTACAGCAACGATGCAAGCTTCAAAGAATAAGTGTATTCTCATGCCGATTTCCACGTATTTGCAATGTTATTTCATAGTAAAATACACCATCAATAGGACCTTTGTGTTCCTACGCGACATATCTCAGAAAGAGGAAGTGAGATCCGGAATCAGACCCAGATTACGATCTTACAGAGAAAGCTGTACCTTTCCACCATATAACAATAAACAATAAATCATTTATTCTTATTCATTTTAATACATATTTAAATACAAACCATACACAGTGTTATTTTTCTCGATGAAGAGCGGTCTATTTTCTGTCCTTCGTCGGACCGTGAAGGGGCTCTATTCTATCCCTTTTTTCAAACAGAGCAGCTGTCCATCCTTGTACGCTGAGTTCAACTTCTTGGTTTTCTGTTACTAGGCTTCGTACCAAGAAGCTCTGTCAAAATGAATAACCAAAGTTATTTATAAGAAACATAATAATAAATACTGATATCGTATTAGCATTTTATTTCCGGACAGATGAGTTTGTGGGTATATGTTAACATTATATATTTCTTATTTTGATATACACATTCAAGGTATGATTATATATACATATGTATTAAGTAATATCGGTGGTATGGTCTAATGATGGCACTAATAAACACACCTACCAAGATGTGATGTAATTTATTTGTGTCTTGCTTCATTGATCATATAAGCGATGTAAACATGTAAAATGTATTACCATATCAACATACAAAGGGCAAGACTAAAACCTTATTATTTATAAGATGTAATTATTTGATGCAATTTTTCAAAGGAGGTGTTGATGTAATCTACCAAAAGATGGCCGATAATGTAAGTGGATTCACTTATAGTTCTTTTATAGTTCTTATGTTTTGTCTGATTAACTCATTATTTGACTCTACTATGTCACATTCTAAACTTGTAATAAAAAGTGTCATCTACTTGTTTGTCTAATTTATAATCTGTAAGACGGTTACATATTGATGATGTGATCATTTATTGTTTTACTTAGACGATTAGTCAGAATATAAGGAAACACATATACATATAATGAGGTTTATTCTGATGTTGAATGTTTTACAAAAAACACAAAGTTGTATAGCATCTTCCAATACAAACTTAAATACAATACAGTAGAGCAAAACAATGAACTAAGCGGCATCATACAACCGTGTCGTCCTTCTAGGACTCGTCAGTGATGCTACATCATACAACCGTGTAGTCCTTCAAGGACTCGTCAGTGATACTACAGGCCTAAATTTTAAACCCAGAAGGCGACAGAGGAAAAACCAATGTCAAAATGGAGACGGAGAAGTGCACTAGCATCCTAATTTAGTAAATTCCATAAGTTTTACATATGTAATAATTTTAGAAGAACGTCAAGTATTGTATATACAAATATACATCGTAATAGGATTAAAATTTCAACCAATAATATGTATTGCCAGGTATTTATAAAAAAAATAGGTCAGCAATCCTCCTTGAGATGACTAACTGGCGTGGTCATGGTTTATCATGTGACAGGCATGTGAAATCTGAATATATTCCCGGAAATAAGAGACGGATGACCCACATGACTTGACGTCAAGTACACTTCTACAAGATCAGACTGATGGAGCAATTATTTAATTATAAATATCCATTTTTCGTTGTTCTTTAAAGTACATGATATAGTGGTATTTATTTTATCGTGATATTACAGTGTATAATTATCAAAACAGTAATGTATTGATATACACTCCGCATGTTAGAACATATGAAACGGATTTTAACCGAAATTTCTGGGTTTTGGTTTCTGGGTTACTGCACAAAGAATACATTGACCTGATAGAGTTTTGATAAACATATATTTAATAATTTAATTTTGTTAAGAAGTTGATGATAAATGGACAAGGGTAGGATAAATGGATCTCTCCTCTAGGATAAATATTCATAAAATATTCATTATAATTTTGGGAGAGCACAATCAAACAATCAAATAAAATTAGATGCAAATTGAGAGATACTCATTTAATTAATACAATTTACTACTATAAGGCTTTTCAGCCATGTTTGATAGAGGGAAATTATGTAGGGTAGATTCCAAACAAAAAAGACATTATACTTAATTTACAGAAATAAATTACATGTAAAAGTTATACTTCGTTAATACGTAAAATTGATATTGAAAAAATGTTACCGATGTATTTGATGCTTTATTGTGTACAATGAGCGATATCAACATTTATTGTATCATTTGATCGAGAATATTGAAATGGTAGCACCATAAATATAACTGACATCTCTTTCATAAAAATATATGCTTCAATTTAATTTAAAAATCAATCTTAATACGACAATAGTACACAAGCAATAATCTATTATATGCAAATATACAAATATTACAGCAATAGTACACAAACAACACTGTATATGTATATAAAGATACAGAGATGTTAGTACACAAGCAACACGTAGTGTTATTTCACAACCATCAATTTCTATACATAACGATTAAAGTGTGTAATTTATGAAAATATGTCCTGTTATTTTTAGATACGAAGAACATGATATTGAAAACAAATTGTAGCATTTTTGAAACGAAATGAAAAATAGTATGTTATAATAATATGATCAGAGATCATATGCAAATTGTTTATACAATATTTCCTTTCAAACCAATTGTAACTGTAGCAAATCCAAATATAACATGTATGTTTATTACGAGCATATCATAAGACTAATTCGGAGTGACTATTGAATTCAATTTTTTTTATTTGTCTTTGTACTCCTAATTCTATGAGAGTACATATCTCTTGATTTAAGAAAAATATAATTAACTTGTTTCGGAAATTCTTGCGCAATGTCTGCAAACATCCGTTTTGAATGCTATGCGATGTGTTATCACGAATTTTCATGCAAACAGATCAAAATCGTGATATCGATAATTACGACCCATCTGCAATATTCTTATACGTTATAGATATTAATCTAAAACTCTTTATTAAGATGTAAGATGTTGTTGGGAAAATCGCATGAACATTAAAACTTGGTGATTACTGTAAAATGGACTTTGTTCTGAGCACGATAATTATGTGAATATATTCCATTATTATGACGTATGCTTAGATAAATGTTCAAGTGTCCTAAAATCTACGATGTGCTGTTGAATTACTATACCCTCTTAAAATTGTCGTATTAGGTTTAGTTCAATTTAAGGAAACGCCAGTAATTAAGGTAATGAGTTGCAGTAGCACATTAAAATAGAAAATGCGATTGAGAAAATGTAAGATGCACGTGTACAATTAACTACCTAAAACTGTAAGTGTGTCTTTAATGGTGCAACTTAATCGCAAAATATCCCTAAATCATGTCCCTTTAAATTTTGCCAACACAGACACATTCAATAGATATACGATTCTTCTTTAAAAATCTTTATTTGATAATGTACTTTTACATTTTGATGTCAAGAACATTTAGGTGAAAGAAATATCACCTTATTTGACGATTTTGATAAATTCCATATCACAGTGACTAGAGTATAAGTTTCTATTTATCATATTACCCGCATTTCTGAAAAATAAGCGGAAACTTTCAAATTCATTTCCCTATTAGACGGGGTTATTTCGACGCGGACTTCGTTTTTCACTACCGACGAGACGATCGTGTGATGTCATCAGGACACGAGTTATTTATGACGTCACATTAGTGTTAAATTACATGTGTCTTATGATAATGATGACATTTCTATATGACACGTCACAACATGTCAGTTATATGATAATTATGGTAAAGAAGTTCTAATTTTCGATGTGTCAGTTTCTGGTGACATTATAAAAATACACATATCTAGGATATTGTCATTAATAACCATAACCAAGTCATTTGATTTTTGTTTTGAGATGGAATCTGTTTTAAATCAGGACGTTTCCCAGCATACTTTCACACACATGTAAATACCAACAGATTCTAACCTACGTGTATGAGACAGAGGTGACTGAGGTCATGACCTGATAAAAGGTCAGTATATCTGTATTTCTCTTTTATCTCGAATAAAATCAATTTCTCTGAAAGCAGTGGTAGCATTTGACCTTTCGCCTTACTGTACACAAATTAAACGGCATGCATATATAAGCAACACAGGATACAGAGAGCACAGCCCACAACGTTTTGTTAGCTTGAGATATTTAACGGAATATTTTCATTTTCAAATACATGTAATTGTTTTAATATGTCATTTCCCTTAGTGTGACAGATGTCAAGAAAGGAACATTTAGAGCAGAACTTGTTTGATAGATAAAATAATACCATAATTACAAAGGAAAGCTATATGCTTCATTTTTATGCTAACATTATGTGAAGTAAATGCAGTGCTGAGTAGAGAGTCTAATGGCGAGAGAACGCAGATGTGCTGCTGCACAGTTTCAAATAGGGACATTTTGATTTTGTCCATAATCATTAAATATATACATAAGGCCTAACGGGGAAGTAATCATTAGACCAGTGGCGATAAGAGAAAGCAGTTCCCTTTGGCGAGGCTGTGGCATCCTGCTTGCTCTCCACAAGATCACTCCGGGTTTCATTATAGTCGTTTTATCCATATAACTCTATACCGACCACATTCTGACGAAAAGCCACGCTATCTCCGACACTTTGGCTGCGTTTCTCAATTATTACAGAAATACTCATATAGATTTGATAGATAAGTTTTCAATTTTGTCTTTTTCTGTGATCTTAGCACGATGGAGATGGAAGTTTGGATGAACGTTACATACTGGTGAGCTGCCACTGGAAATATAGGCGTGTGAAAGAACCTTATTCCAAAGCCTGTTATTAAGGTATTAAATAAAAATAAATTTTAAATTTTCGTCAGTTAAAAGCCAGTTTCTCATCGCTTGAGAAGTTGCCTTATCTGATTTTTAGTATACTGGGATGCAAATAGGTTAGCACCGCAATTTTCTATTATCTTTGATAAACCACATGGCAACACTGGAAAGTTAGTTTATTATTTTCTTCAAAATGAATTCAATTGATAATCATAAATTCTAATTAAATACAACTTAAAACCAATGCGATATAAAATTGAAATGGAATTATTTAGCTAAAATTGAATGTCTAGATTGAAACAATGTTAACACCCAAGAATAAAGCGGTAAACGTACTAGCAATATGTGCCACCGTCATATCTACATTTGCCATATGGTGTTGACATTATCTTTCCATTCCTATTAAGTAGGTTTCAGAATAAACAGGACATTGAATAAAATTGAATTGAATCTAATTTTTATTTTCTTTATAGGTAGCTTTAAACTGCCTTCAGTTCATAGTTTTATGCAACATGTATTCATTCATCAGCAAAAATCAGGATATAAATACAAGTAGTAGGTATGACTTCTGTCATATATTTTATTACCATTTTGAAAGACCCTTAACCTTCTTCAAATCTGG